AAGCCATCCTAATGTTTTAATTCCAAATTAAAGTTGTCTTGGCTCAAACATTTTTTTCGATCTCACAATAGAAATTCGCGAACTTCAAAAATGTGTTTTCAAATCCTTTAAAAATAACAATTAATTAACTTACAAAATATTTTTCAACAATATTAATATCTTAATTTATATTTGATCTTCTATATATATTCATTTGTATTGTAATCCAACATATTTTCTAATGCATCCTAATATTAGTTTATCAAGAATATCTTTAGTATCCTATTAATAGTCTCTTTATTGTCTTCTATCTTTTACCCCCTCCTTTCCAAGACCTCTTCGTTCTCTTTTTCATATTCTTCTATTCCTTATCCTACTCTTCTCTGGTTTGTTTCTTATTTTCCTATTCCCCCTCTTTCTCCATATCCTACTCTTCTGGGTCCTTTTTATTATTTTCCTATTCCCCTTTTGGTTCCTTTTCCTTTTGCCCTTTTCAACTGTTCCTTCTCCTTTTCCTATTCTCCTTTTTCTTATTTTCCTACTCCTATTCCTTACACTTTTTCTACTCCTCTTCCTCTTTTTCCTACTCCTCTCCTATCTCCTTTCCCAACTCCTCTTCTTTTCTCCTTTCCCTTTCTTACTTCTTTCCCTACTCCTCTGCTTTGCTCCTTTTCCTACTACCTTTCTTACTTCTTTTCCTACTCTTATTCTTTTCTTTTACCTTACTCCCTTTCTTACTTACTTCTTTTCATACTCCTCTTCTTTTCTCCTTTCCCTACTCCCTTTCTTTCTTCTTTCCCTACTCTTATTCTTTTCTTTTACCCTACTCCCTTTCTTACTTCTTTCCCTACTCCTCTTCTTTCCTCCTTTCCCTACTACCTTTCTTACTTCTTTCCCTACTCTTATTCTTTTCTTTTACCCTACTCCCTTTCTTACTTAATTCTTTCCCTACTCCTCTTCTTTTCTCCTTTCCCTACTCCCTTTCTTTCTTCTTTCCCTACTCTTATTCTTTTCTTTTACCCTACTTCCTTTCTTACTTCTTTCCCAACTCCTCTTCTTTCCTCCTTTCCCTACTCCCTTTCTTACTTCTTTCCCTACTCTTATTATTTTCTTTTACCCTACTTCCTTTCTTTCATAATCCTCTTCTTTTCTCCTTTACTCACTCCTCTTTTTTCTCCTTTCCTTACTCCTCCTGTTTCTCCTTTCCTCATGAGCTCGAATCTTATTATACCGCGAGGAAGAGTTAAACCGTCTTCTTAAATGAAAAAAAGGAAGAAAGAGAGAAAATTAGCAAAAAATCAAATTTTTATTACCAATATTATGTGTTCAAATTAAAGAAAAATTGAGTGATTTCAAAGATAAATTATTTTGGAATTTTAATTCTTTACTGTTTCATGGATTGATAGGGGTTAAAATAACGTTTTGTATTTAATAAAACTTATCCATTATTATAATTAAAATATCTGTTATTAGATTAATCGTTTCCATGACAACAAAAAGTATCAATGTGGAGAAAAATTGAAAATTCATAGTTTAACCCAAATCTCTAAGATCTGTCAGATCAGAGTTTAATGATGTATCAGTATAATAATGACATCATTTCTCATTAAACAGTGATAACCAGAAAACAATGGAATAGAAAGACGACAATTTAGCAATACTTATGGGTTTTCATGTTGTTACAAAGCGAATAGCTTAACTATAGTAACTTAGCAAAGCACAATTAAAGAGAAAAGGGTCTATTTACACTGTAAAATTGCTGTTTAATGTTCATTGAACTAGTTTAAGTCCTAACTTGAGTTTAAAAGTTGTCTTCCTATTTCAGAGTTTTCTGGTTATCACTGTACCTTGCATTGTTTTGTTTTGATGCAAATAGCTTCTCAATATCACTAATAGAAAAAAAACACATAATGCAAAATTGGCAAAATTAATGTGTGATAAATTAAAAATCTAGGAGTGTAGGAAGAAAGCATCATCACCGGAGTGCTACCGGAGACCCTCTCCCACCGGAAACCCCCAAGCGTTACCTTACCGGAGACCCCGGCATTTTCAACGGAGACCCCAAAGTTTTTATCGGAGACCCCAAGTAAAATATTAAAATATTAAAGTAAAGTAAAATATTAAAATCCCCCACCCTTTCCCTCCATGAATTTAATATAGTAAACGTATAAAAATAAAAATTGTTGGAATACAGACCCCTACGAGGGGGGGAGTGCAGAAGTCCTCAATGAGTAATCACCGCCACCCATACGTGTTTTGCGACATGCGCGCTCCTCAATTGGTAATCTTCACCAACCAAGGGTGAAATATTTAGCGCGTGGTGCGAATTCTTTTTTTGCCTCCCCCCCTAAACATTTCTGGGGGGGGGGGGGGCAAGAAAAATGTGTATTATTCTCAACCATGAAAAAAACTAACCTTACCGACAGGATATTCAGTTAGTCAATACATCTGATATGAAATGAAAATAAATGTATTCTGGATAAAAGAATTCTTTGTGATATGTGAAATGAGATCTAAAAGAAGCCCCAAACCGCCTACAGGAATATTAGACCAGTACCGCAATATTTGGTCATACTTCTGTTAACGTAAACAAACAACCGAACTGGAATGTACTGCAGTATATAATCCTTTGTTTACAATCCATATTAAGTGTCTATCTAATTATCTATACAAATATTCAACTATCTACATTTTACCACCCCCAAGAAATACGATCACTCTATATACAAGTGTACAGTGTTAGATACGTAAACATATCGTGATGTAAACAACCGACCACTTTATTAATTAATTAATAGCTTTGTATCTTTGTACCTTTATTTCTTTGTGTCTTTGTATCTTGTATCTTTGTACCTTTGTATCTTTATATCTTTGTATCTTTGTATCTTTGTATCTTTGTGTCTTTGTATCTTCGTATATCTTCGCATCTTTGTATCTTTGTGTCTTTGCATCTTTGTATCTTTGTGTCTTTGTATCTTTGTATATCTTCGCATCTTTGTATCTTTGTGTCTTTGCATCTTTGTATCTTTGTGTCTTTGTACCCTGAATAGGATAGAGGGTATAAGGCTACTAGGATACAAATCAAATCAAATCAAATCATTCTTTTAGGGACGTCCTACACCCACACTCCAAGTGTAATAAATATACTGTATAGTAGCTATATATTTGTAACCTGTTGTCTACATATCACATGTTATCCTAAATTAATCACATTTTGCGATCAGTCTTTAAGACATTTAAGACATGTATCATTAGACTAAATATAGACAGTTGGACATTTGAATAGGAATGGTTGAGTTAATCATTTATCTGTAGAGAAATATATTCAAAGAGCTTTAAGCGTGAGTTATAAAATACTTAGAGAGACTTTTGGAGTTTTGGCATCGTTACATAAGGATACAAAGATAAAAGAATATAAGGATACAAGGATACAAGTATACGTGGATATAAGTATCCAAAGATACAAGGATACAAGGATAAAAGGATACAGGGATATAAGGATTCTAAGATAAAATGGTACAAATATATAAGGATACAAGAATTCAGGGATAAAGGGATACAATATCCTTGTATCATTTTATCCTAGTATCTTTATATCTTAGTATCCTTTTATCCTACTATCCTTATAATATCCTAGAATCCTTATATTGTAATAAATATAGTAATAACCCCATATTTGTAAACCTGAACATACCTGTAAATATTACGTTATAACTTTATCTGTACCCTAATTACGTTCATTAGTTTAAATACGATTTAATTTAACTATGTTTATTGATTTAAAATGTAAAATAAAACCCTGAATATAGATCAGTTAGATATGGATCTTTGCTTTATTACGTTTAGACACGTATTATTTCTCGTGTCGTATCTGGATGAATACAGACTGAAGTATAATTGATCGAACATCGAGTTCGAGAGCGAGATGTATCTTAATTAATAGATAGATACTGACGAATCAGAGTGTTGTGTCATAATTGAAACAGTAACAGTGCAGCAACAAGTTAAGACTAAAACCAGAGTGTACAGATTTACTAAAGCGTAAAGAGTACCAGAATGTATAGAGTACCAGAGTCTACAGAATACCAGAGTGTACAGAGTACCAGAGTCTACAGAGTACCAGAGTGTACTAGGTACCAGAATGTACAAAGTACCAGAGTGTACTGAGTAACAGAATGTTTAGAGTACCAGAGTGTACAGAGTACCAGAGTGTACTGAGTACCAGAATGTACAAAGTACCAGAGTGTAATGAATAACAGAATGTTTAGAGTACCAGAGTGTACAGAGTACCAGAGTACCAGATTGAAAAGTGTACCAGAGTGTACAGAGTATCAGAGTACCAGATTGAAAAGTGTACCAGAGTGTAACAGTGAACAGTTTTGATTGTACCCAACAGTATCTAATGAAGAATCCGATACCAGAGTACCAGATATGGAGGAAATGGACCTGCAAGTGGAAATATTGTGGAAAGAATTACAAACAGGGGAAAATCAGAACCGTAAACTCACAGTCACAGAGTGTCAAATCATAAAGCAAAAGATGGAGCAACTGGAGCTAGTGTTGCTAGAGTGAAGGCAATGTTGGAGCAGAGTAAGAAGACAGATGAGACACAACAATACATGGACCATCTAAAGGAAATACTTGCATCTGGGAGAGCTCTGTGGTCTGTTTTTTTAGCTTTCAAAATTACTGTAGATATGAATTTAGAATTTGAAATCTTTGTTCATAAATTTATTGGAAATTACATTAAATCTCTGGTAGGTTTTAAAGCATAAAAAAGGCAGACCACAATTTGGAAATAGCGGAACTAGGGTCATTTTGTAATAGTTTTATTTATGAATAATATTTGAAAAATTAGGTCGCAGAAATATATGCTGGGACTATATCAGATCAAAAACTTTTCAACTCGTCTCACATTCGTCAAGAAATGTTGGTTCTTGGTGAAAAATCAATATATCTATTTAAATATATATCCTTATAATTGCAATAACGAGTATTTCATAATATGAAATGTCATTTGATGAAGATTTAAATGTTTATTTATCCTAAAGAAATTATAAAGTAATGAAGTGCAGAGTTATGATTTTAAAAACTTGGAACCAGTTTAAAAAAGAATCTTGGGAAACAAGGATTTCAATATGATACAAACTTAAAAAGTGTAAGCTCATCAAACACCTGAAGTAAAAATTGACTGTTCTAACTTCTAAGTATAGAAAAATAGTACCTCTTGCGTATATTTAACTAGAGATCTTTATTAAATTAATAATTTTTGGCTTTCATTTGTTTTGGAATAAGACGCAGGAGCACTGGAGGGTTGAGAGTAAACTAGGTTTATCTTGAGATCTTCTGTATTCCAGGATTGGTAATCCTTCTCCTCCTTGTGTTGAAGTTGGAGAGAAGTCTTGAGGATATGAGGGTAGCAGGAGAACATCGGAGCCAGGAGGAGGTTAAACAGGACGGAGCAGAGATACGTTGGGACGGATTGGAGATTAGGAGACGGGAGACGAGTTCTCGTCCTTGGGAGGAGCAACACGAATCATCAGGGAAGGAGAAATCACATCGGAGAATATTATTTCTTGTTTCCTCCTGAGAGTCGTCAAGAAACGGAGACATTCCACTGAAATATTGATCAAGTAAATAAACATTTAGTAAGAAATATTTATCACTATAGTAAAAGGGAATATGCTCGTAATTCAAATTGACAGTTCATTACAATGGTCATGTAAACCTTTCATCAATGTTGGTGTCCAACGACATTATCTGATTCATTAGAAAACGATTCTGAACAAAGTGTTTGTGGTTAATTGAAGAGACGTTGAAACGTTCTTCAATTATTTTGTGAACGTTTATAATAAATGTTTGTAAAGGTATAAGGCACCTGAGTAGAACGTATAAAAGAACTCCAAAAGCCCACATATCTGTGTAGGTCCCTAGGGGACCCCCGGACACTAGCTCAGGAGCCTGGAACTCTAGATCTGAGATCTCAGGTTCGAATCCTGTAAGATCCTGATCTCCTCCTCGGGATAGAACTCGACTCTCTCCGAAGTCTAGAAGTTTCAAGGTTCGATTATCTGACTCCAGGAGCAGGTTCTCCGGTCTAGACATGAGAGAAGAATATTAGTAAAGAAACCAACAGAAGAAATAGTATAAACAACGCTTTGTATATTATCAGAAGTGAAAACTATTGTGCAGTGAAATGAAACAAATCTTCAAAAATCTTGAATTTGATAATAAGGTTTTCTTGATTCCTTCATTTTTATTTATCCCTGCAGGGTACGATCACCACAGGATATCCAAGAGGAATCAAGTTAATCTATAGATCAGACCTTGATCTTGAGATTTACAACACAAGAGTTCTGAGTTCTGACCTCAGTACTTATCATTATCTTTAATATTTTATATCTGAGACAATGCCATTCACATGCTTTAAGACAAAAAACATCAGACACATTCATACAATCAGATACAATCTTTTCTTTATGATTTCTTAGAAATAATAATAAATTGAGCTGATCAAAACATCCGACCAAAAATTTATGAAAATCTGAGTCAAGATCAAATTAGGTTAAGATAACTATATTGTCAGAAATCAGGAATTAAAATTTTCTAATCCCTATATCTTTGCAACCTAGACAGTGTGAACCTTTAATATTTCAAATTTACCATATTTGATCTAACAAAATTTGTAAATTGAAATGTCAAAGATTAGAAGATCCCAGTTCGTGGCAAAAACTCAATCCCTTATTCTTATCTGAGCAGTTCATTTAATTATTAAAAAAAGTGCTTTACTTTCTACAAAATAAAATTGTACTGTTTACCCACCTAATATCTGCATGTACTATACTGCTAGTATGGAGAAAGGATAGAGCTGAGAGCAACTGTACTGTAAAACCACATAAACTACTCTCTGAGTAGCTTGGAGACTCACATAACCAAACTAGCAGAGGGAATCCAGAAACCCTTAAATATTAATTTTAAACTTTCTCAGAATTAATTCTTAGTTTTCTTCTGAACAGGAAGTGAACTTCAGAAGAGATAATTTTCTGAATCAATCATCATTTTACAAGTTAACATATGTAGACAGTGAGAACTAGAAAACTGTGGAATAGGAAGACGACTTTTATGCTTAAGTTATGGTTTTGAGTAGTCCAAATAACAGCAATTTTGCGGCTGAACAAACCATTTCAGTTTATTCGTGATTTTAAGCTACATTGTAAACTTATTCGCAATGTAATGACATTTAACACTTGAATATTGTTTTATTTCTGTTCTCACTGCATGATAATCCGTTTTTAAAATTAACATAAATATTAGAGGAAAGTAATCCCGGTTTTCTTTATTTTGAGTCAATTGTTTACTTTAAAAGTTAATATTGGAAAAATAATGATATTATTTGCATTTGAAAATATATTTGCCAATCTTTTTTTAATTATTTAAAATCTTACAATTCCATGACAATCGCGTCACTTGATGGAGTAGCGAATATCCCGGCCACCGCAACGATATTCGTGTGCCGGACGCGCGCTAGTATATTGTGCTCTCGACGGGTCTGCTCTCGTGTGCGTCTGCGTCTGTTCAGGAACTTTACTGCAACCTCTCGTCCAGTCAAAATCTCCTGGCAACGGCGCACCACAGAGAAACGACCTCGACCAACCTTAAAAAATAATTTTTATCTTTTTAATTGTAAGGAAGAGGGATTTGTTGGTACTTTTTTCTTTGAAGGGAGTGTTCGCTAAAGTGAAATGGGGTATAGGCTAAATCATAATTAATTCTGGATTAGTTTCAAATTTTATTTGGTTCATTTAAATGTATCATATTTTTTATCTTTGTAAGAAGCAAGATATAAAAGTAAAATTAGTAGCGATCGAATAAAATTTGATTTTAGCATGTCCTCTTTCATTTTTCGCCAACACTCCATTAAAGAGGAAATTCATTCACATCCGAAATTTACCAAGAATTATATTTTTGAAATTTAGAAAACCCTCGTGTCTAGTGCTAAAACATTGCAAAGCTTTCAAGTGAAAAATTGACCATTTAATCTTAACTTTTATCAAAGAAAATAAAACTTTATTTTTAGTGTTTTAAAACATTTAAGATTTAACTTTTAACATTGTAAAATTGAACTGCAGGGCGGAAAAGTTTAAAATATAATAATACAAAAAACATTAGAAACAATATTTCGACAGACGGTAAAGACGTTAAAAAGTATCCGGATCCGTAGCTCAGGGTCCGGATACTAAACTCAAATATTGTTTAATGAGAGAATGTTAAAAAATTTCCTAGCTAAGCTCTGAAAGGTCAATCAAGTTTCTTCACAAAACTTGGAGAACAAAAGAAGACAAAAATTTAGAAAATTTCTTTTGAGTACAGGATCCGGATCCATTTATACGTGACATATTCAGGATCAGAATCCCCTTTTACGTGACAGATTCAGAATCCGGATCCATTTTTACGTGACAGATTCAGGATCCGGATCCATTTTTACGTGACAGATTCAGAATCCGGATCCATTTTTACGTGACAGATTCAGGATCCGGATCCATTTTTACGTGACACATTCAGAATCCGGATTCATTTTTAAGTGACAGATTCAGGATCCGGATCCATTTTTACGTGACAGATTCAGTATCCGGATCCATTTTTACGCGACAGATTCAGAATCCGGATCCATTTTTACGTGACAGATTCAGGATCCGGATCCGCTACAAGTATAAATCACTCTTTTTCTTTAGAAAGTGTGGATGTATGTTAAAAAAATCTTTTCAAGAATATCCACGAATAGGATCCAATAATAAGTTTTCACATAGGAAGCCTGGGTAATTGTTTCTATCAAATATATCCTATATAATCCTCTAAACCCTATGTTTTGGCAGGGATAAAAGAAACACCGAGAATTGGAAATATATAAAACAAAACAAATTGTTTTTGTTTTAATTTCGAACAATTCTTATTTTGCCTTTCAGATAATAAATGGTTTGAAATAAATCAATTAAAATTGAAAAGTTAGAATAATGTAAAAGTAAATAAAAAATTTACCAAAAGAATAAGAAAAATCAACTGCGTTATTACTTAACTAATAATTAGCCCTTTAGAGCTTTTAGACATAAAATCAATCAAAAACGTTAAAGGTTTCATATTTTGATATATTTAAGTTAGTAACACATTTACTTAATTTGTAAACTGTTACTGTACTGTACTGTACTGTATGTAGTGTACTGTACCTCTTCCAACTCTATGTACTGCTGCTCAAAGTTGGTCTGAAGTGCTGGATCGGTATCAACCTTTCTCTGTTGCAGAGCTAGGAGGGCGGATCCTGTTTGTCCCTCCCCTAGAGGAACTGTTAAGGGAGGGCAGGGTAGGGAGGGTTCAGAGTCCGGACTGCTGCAGTCCAAGGAGTATGAGATGAGACGAAAACTATATGTTTCTCCTTGAACTAGATTATCTACCAGGCATACACCTTCAGTTAAATTATCCTTCACTACCTTCCATTGACCGACAGATACCTCGCACCATTCCAACCTGGACACCATTTATATTTTATTTAATCAATCAGTTAACTATTTTTATCAACCAAGTAATTTATTTAAATATTTCGGGAAAAAAGCTTTTATCTTATATAGAAAATTATTTTAAAAGAAATTCAGGACTTTTGGCATAATAGTACATCTTTAAACAATAAGTCTTAAAATCCAATTAATTAATTAACTATAGTCTACTCTATGAGAATGAAAAAATTGTACCTGAACGCTCTTTGAGAGATATCTCCAGTATCCCAAGATAAAAGAGCACTAGTTCCCTTGAGATCTTGAACCCTAGGTTGGGTTGGAGGAGGAGGTATCCTGGACACCTGGAGTAAGATCTTCAAGGTTTCATGTTCCAGTACACAACTGTACTCTCCAGAATCAGAGATATCACAATCTTCAACATTCAGGCGAGAACTACCGGAACCTATCTCAACCCGAAACCTTCCTCCTGTACTAATTACAGACCCGGTTGGAGATCTCCAAACCGGTTTCTCTCTATCCTTGCATTGGGCTTGTAATACTCCTTTACTCCCTTGCAGTACATGAACAATGGTACACGAGTCCCTGCAGTGTTTGTCTCTGGTAAAACTCTGTTTCCTGACCCTGAACCCCCAGGAGGACTGCTTCCTAGTCTCCTGGTTGGCAGGGTGCAGCGTATAGGAGGGTAACCATCCCTTCATCTCCTCCAAGGAAGAGGCAGAGGGAGGTTTATTGACCAGATAACCCCGGGATAGGTTGGATGAGATGATGGTGACAAGTTCCCCCTTGTTCACGGATATTTCGTCCTCTCTTATAGGTCTGTAGTCCAGGAGCACTGGAACACAAGAACCCGGAGATAGGAATCCTACCAGTCCGTTCTCAACCTAATCAAATATTTGTGTTTTATTGTTTTATATTCTCTATAAAACAGAGAATTGTGTTCTAAAAAGAAAAAGAAGAAAAAGACATTGTCGGAAATTGTCAGTCTCAAACTAATTAGATTTTTATATTAAAGAATAAGGAAAAAAACAGATTTTTCTACCGACATCTACAGTCTTTTCCAATAATTAGATATTCCCTCCCCCCTTAAACATTTGCTTTTAATTTCCTAATATATCTTTTTAAATCTATTTCATGCGTTTAACGACAACAAAAGTAAAGAAAATGATCTTATAAATAATTTTAGTTTTAAAATGCTAGGCATTAAATTTCATTATATTCAGGGACTAAGCGGATTAATAAATTTTTCTTTTGATGTGGTTTGAAAAAAGAATTTAAATTCTTTGTAGAAAATATTTTTTCTCTCAAAATATTAGAAAAGTCTCTTCAGCAAAGTTTCTTACTTGAAATGATTTCTGATTGAATTAGTTTCCCCAATCAAGAGTTAATAAAATTAATCAGTTGGAAGAAAATACTTCAAGGAAGTTCATGATACGAAAGGAATAATCTATTTTACCTGTCGTGGCTGTTCCTTCTTGGCTACAGTCGTTTTCTTTATTTGAACAGCTTGCCGCGTAGTTTTCCCAACTAACCGACTCAGCTGGTCTAATGCGTCGAAATTCTCTGCTGGTTCTTTCCGTACTGGAGAGCTGGGTAGAGACATTGCTTTGTCAAACGCTTCTTCAATGGACAGGAAGTTGGATTCCTGATGTGGGTTTGACTTTGGTCTGGATTCAGTGCGGGAAGTGCTTAAGGATCGATTAATGCTGAACTCCCATTCTCCACTAGATAAGGGGTTAACAATGATTTGAAGTTATTTTTCTCTTCATAACAAAGTTGGAAATTATAAATTGTAACACCAAAATAGGCTTGGTCAATAAAAAAATAAAAAAATTTTATTCATGAATTTTTATATTTTAGAACAATCAACAAGGTATTGCAGGGAGAAACTATTGGACCAGAAACTTAAAAATAAATGTTATACTCTATCAATTCTCTATCAGAGTATTCGACAAAAAAATAACCTCTAAAAATGTATTTATCTCAAGACAATCATTAGGGAGTTTTTTTTAGCTTTGATACAATCTGTCCTCCGTATCAATTACTCCCCACAATACCAAACTGAATATATCTTTATCACAGCAGATATTTAAATATTTAAAATGTGTAATTCTAATTGTTAACAATATTTCTAATTGCAGAATATTTGAAAGTTTCATGCAAGTGTGTAAGTAATATTTACCCAGCACCATCTATCACCGAATGTTAACAAGGTTTAATATTCAGTTTTCTTTTTGGATTTAACAATTTAAAAATTGTAAAAGAGTAAAAACACAATTTCCCGTCTTTCTTCTATTTTCCTCCGGGAGTAATCCCAGCTAGACCTTACTGCTTTCTAGTTGAAAGTGAACAATCATGACAAACATGAAAATCGGTTTAATATAAAATGGTATTAAGCATTTCTGATTTTCTTTCTATTTTAAAAAATTGATCTTCCTTTAAGACAGTGTATTTTCTAACCAAGGCCTAACCCAATCCATAAAAGTTTCTTCAACAAGTTCATAAGTAAATAAAATATTAACGTTAGTATCAGTCTAAGTCTGAAATGAACTTCAACCATTTATGAAATTAATTTTGACATTAAAATTATACAAAATTTTTATTTGGGCAAATTTTTGAACTATAGAATTTTAAATCAATCTTTAAATAAAACAAAATTATAAATGAAAAATCAAACTTGATTTCTTGTTTATCCGTTTATTTGAATTAATATTTTGATATACAATATACACCACAATATATATTTATATAACAATATCTATACATAGATCTCTTTATCCCCCTCCCCCCCTTCCCTTTCCTTTCGGACCAATATGTACAGAATAATATTTTGAAACAGGTACATAAGATAATTTAACATAATCAAACCCTTTTTTCTTTTGCTTGCGAAGGTTATAATCCTGGATGTTTGCTTACTAGCTTATGACTTGTCTAGAGTAGTCTAGAATAGTTAAGAGTAGTCTAGAGTTGTCTCAAGTAGTCTATAAATAGTCTAGAATACGCTTTAACAATATGAACATGACATAAACATGGAAAAGAAGAAGCAGTTCTATTTATTCATGCGGTTTCAATTTTTTAATTTGTTCAGAGTTAACATTTTTGAAGATAATATTCATGAAAACTGCTTCTTATTCATAGTGCAGCATCCAGAATCATAATCTAACGCAAGATCATCCAATATTTACAAAATTTAGAGAAAAATATGCTTTCGTCAAACAGAAAGCTATGCTTAGTGTAAAGAGCTTCAATAAAAAAATGGTTTGTAAAACCGCTTCAAGAGCTTTAGGAAAGAAATGAGCAAAATTTTAAAATGAGTATTTGACAAGTAGCAAGCAGTCTAGAACAGTCTAGAGGAGACTAGAGTAGTCTAGAGTAGTCTATAGTAGTCTAAATTAGACTAGAATAGTCTAGACTTGTCTAGAGTAGTCTAGAATAGTTAAGAGTAGTCTAGAGTTGTCTCAAGTAGTCTATAAATAGTCTAGAATACGCTTTAACAATATGAACATGACATAAACATGGAAAAGCAGAAGCAGTTCTATTTATTCATGCGGTTTCTTTTATAATGCCTGGGCGTACACTGTACAGTGAATGTACATAATAATTCTAGGCGTGGTTTTCAAATCTCTAGAAAGAGATAAATATGATTAATCCCCTGTACCCTCTCTACCTCTAGTTATATAACTAGTCTAAACAATATATACTGAGATCATTCTGTTGCCATTTACTTTGTTAACAATTGTTTGAGAGTCGAAAAAAAGTTGTTAAAATGATAAATATTAAGCTCTAGTTTACACATAACACCCATATTCATTTATTCCCCGACGTTCATACTAAGTTTAACAATGAGATGTAAAATTTAAAATCATGATGTTAAAGTTTAAAAAGTGTGATGCTGAATAAAAATATAAATTCATATTTTGAAATAATTTGTCACTGGTTCACTGAAATTTGAATTATTTTCAGTGTTACATTTAATACATGGAAATATCCCGCTGAATAACGTCATGCCTGGTACTGTAATAAACTGTACATAGTACATGTACAGACTATATATGTTAGTATTGCATACCATCACCGACAAATAGGAGAACAGCTCAACAAGTTGGTTTCAACACATATCATTTGAGCATTAAACTGCTGCAGGATTATATATTGTTCTAAGCCTGAATATAACTTGTTGAGTGTATTATGGTTTCCCTCGGAATAGAATAGAATATACCAAGGATTGATTAACATTGATTACATGGCGGATTGGTTTAATCCCAGGAGATAGTTTATTAAATCAAACCTTGTGTATATAATATTGTATTCCAGGATATATCTACAGATCATTCAGGTTAGTTGTCAGAGAAAACATCACCAATATTTCAGCTTTTAGCCGGTTTCAAGGGACTCTTGACATTATTTTAAGTGACAGTACATTTAAAAAGTTGCATGTCCGATTTACAACGGTATCCATCACTTTCTCAGCTTAGAAAGTCAGAATCAAACTGTTTCTGTCAAGTATAACGACGAAATCTATCGATTATGTGATGAAAAGAAGGTTTACAGGGTACAGGTGTGAATCGGGAATGTCCCTCTTTAAATGAAAGTACACTTGAAACTACGACGGCAGTCTCTTTAAGTTAAATGAAATCTGTGACATTTTCCCTCTGAAAGTTAATACTTGTGCAGATACTATAGTTTCCATCACCATCTTCCCAGTCTTCTGATACAGGTGGAGAAACTACTTACGATTCTTTGGACATTTTATTGTGGTACGCTATAGGGGCTTGAAGAGCCTTGAGGAAGTCTAGCTGAGTTTGAAGTTGTCTACGTATACAGTTGACCCATCTGTCTCTAGTCTCCAGGTCATCAGCTTGACACAGGTAGACTAGACCTGGTCGGGTTGGATCAGTTGATTTAACTTTAAACATTCTCTTCTCCGTGTCGTTGTCTACCTTTTCATCCAGCTGCATCTTGTTCACCTACAAATATGTTTAAATTTTATGTTTCTTCTAGTTTTCATTACATCGTTTTGGTTTTTGTTTCATTGCAAAAGAAGATGTAACAGGGAACTCTTTAACAGAAATCGTTAATCAAAGAAAGGATAAAAACAAATGTTTTATTTTTACTCAATTCTAAACCCTTACATTTCTACTAAATATTTAATAATATCATCATATATGTTTACATAAGATACTGATTAATTCTTAGAAATAAAATAGAGATGTTTAGTTTCTTGAGAACAGGATGCGTACAAGATAAATAATATTTGTATTTATTCATTTCTGTTTCTGCAAGCCAAGCTTTGGCAATGTTTCTATATATTGCAGCCAACATTACCCTGGTTTATAGGGATATATTAGGAACCCAGGTTTATAGGGATATATTAGGAACCCAGGATTATAGGGATATATTAGGAACCCAGGTTTATAGGGATATATTAGGAACCCAGGTTTATAGGGATATATTAGGAACCCAGGTTTATAGGGATATATTAGGAACCCAGGTTTACAGGGATATATTAGGAACCCAGGTTTATAGGGATATATTAGGAACCCAGGTTTATAGGGATATATTAGGAACCCAGGTTTATAGGGATATATTAGGAACCCAGGTTTATAGGGATATATTAGGAACCCTGGTTTATAGGATATATTAGGAACCCAGGTTTACAGGGATATATTAGGAACCCAGGTTTACAGGGGTTTAAAGGGACAGAAGACGTAATTTCAAGTGAACCTTAATTTGTAAATTGGAATGTCCGATTGACAATGGTAACCTTTTGATCTTTCTTTAAGCAAATATAGTCTTAAATTTCAGTTACGGTATAGAAACAATGTATTTATTGTAAAACTAAATCAATCTAAATAAATGACGATATCTGTTACGCGAGCTACGCTGCGTTCATGAAGTCTATGTGAT